GGCGGGAAGATCAAAAGTTCAAGGTCGTCTTCAGCAATGAGCTGGAAGCCAGTCGAGGGTCGATGGGACCCTGTCTCAAAGTTGCAGATCATAAATGAACATACAAAAAAGCATCCATGTTTACACCTACTAATAGTTATCAAATAAACAGCCCTCCACACAGCAGGACTGTTACAAAATCCTGGCTGTAGGCCCGTAAACTGAAAACTAAAACATTGAGGAAAGACATCAAAGAGGCACAAGAATATGCTGTATGTTTGTCTTTTTGAGAAGAAAAAAAAAACTAATATTATTAGTTAATACATTCCTACTACTCAACTATAGGATCAACGCAATTACCGTTAAAATTTCAAAGATATTTTCCAGAAATAGAAAAAAAATTTAAAAATTGAATTGAACCATGAAAGACTCCAAATAACCAAAGCAGCCTTTGGGCGGATGAGGTAGCTTAGTGGGGGTAAGGTACTTGCTGCCACAGCTGAGAACCTGAGTTCAGGCCCCAGGACCCATGTGGTAGAAAAAAAAAAAAATCTAGCTCGTGCAAGTTGTCCTCTGACTTGCACATGTGCACTGTGGTAAATGCACACACAAACACCAATATTAAAACTTAACAGATTTTCTTGTACTTTATGATGTAATTTTTAAAAGTTTATGGAACCGCAAAAGATGGTCTTAAACAACAACAAAAAAAACCATGTGGAGCCATCACAAAATAATCCAAAATGTACCACAAAACCATAGTAATGAAAACAGAATGTGAAGACAAATGACTCGGCCTCAAAAATGAAGGGTCTAGAGAGATGGCTCAGTAGTTAAGCACTGACTGCTCTTACAGAGGACCCAAGTTTGATTACTAGCACCCGCATAGCAACTCAGAACCATCTCACTCCAACCCCAGGGAATCTTTTGCCCTCTTCTGGCCTTCTTGGATACTGCACTCAGGGTACACAGAGACGTAAGCAGGCAAAGTGCTCATACACAAAATGAAAATCAATAACTAAAAATACCAGCCAGGCACATTAGTCGTACCTCCACGAGTTCCGTTGCTTGGGAGGCTAAGGTGGGATTGGCAGTTTTTAGTTTCTGTTCGGGTGTGTTTGTAGATTGTAGGTATGTGCACTTACTTGCGCAGGTGTCCTTGGAGAACAGAGGTTATGAATCCCTTGGAGTTGTAGTTAGAGGCAGTTGTAACCTCCAACATGTAGGCTGGAAACAAGCCGTGGTCCTCTGAGGAACGGGAGTGCACTTAACCACTGAGCCATCTCTAGCCTGAGGCTATTTCTTTGTTATTTTGAGGTTTTAAAACTACATAGCCCTGGCTAGCCTGGAACTCACTGTGTAGACCAGGCTGGCCTAAAACTCAGAGATCCATCTGTTTCTGCCTCTCAAGTGCTGGATGTGCATCACAGTGCTTGGTAGGCTCCAACGGTCAGCAATAAGCTTAGCATGTACAAGGTTGTGACTGAAAGAAGAGGGGAGGGAGGGGGAGAAGAAAGAAGAAACTACTCTATCAGATGATCCCACAGTCCCATTGCCGGATATACGTCTAAAGAAAATAAATTTAGTGCATGGAAGAGAGAGCTGCATACCTGTGTCTGCTTCCACACTGTTCACGTGCAAAACAAACCTAAACGTCCATCAACAAATGAATAAAGAAAACGTGCCAAACACTCGGCGGAACATTCATTCGGCTTAACAAAGAAGAAAGTAAGCCAGAAACCTGTACCATTCGGTCTTAAAAAGCAGAACTTGGACACAGAGAATGGTGAAATGATGATTAGTGGGGGCTGGAGTGGGAGAGCCAGAGGGTCCAGAAGTTCAGGTGAGAGAATAAGCTCAAGAGGCTACTAATGTGTAACATGCTGCTAGCAACGGCACGTGTGTTACTTACTAGCACACAAAGAAATGGGATTCGGGGGCTGACGAGATATCTGGCAAGAAAGCTTGCCTGCTGACGAATTCGAACCCTGGAACCCTCAAGGTGTAAGCAGCAGTGGCGCACGCCTTTAATCCTAGCATTTGGGAAGCAGAGGCAGGCAGATCTCTGTGAGTTCCGGGCCAGCCTGGTCCTTGTTGGTCTAATGTGACAGCCCTGGAGAAGGCTGGTGGCAGGACCTCTTCTCTGGTTCTGGCCAGCTTGTCACAGCGGTTTTTCCCTTGCCTTTGTAATAGTCTTGTCGGTCACCCTCGTAGATGGTGCTGATAGCAGCCCAGTAATGAAGTTGTATCTCCCACCTCCCGACTCCTGATCTCCAGGGCCTTGGACATCATCAGATAGCTGTCTTTCGGGGCCCACCTCATAATAGAGTAGCCATGGAAAGCATTTCCCCAGATTCATTCTCCACATCCCAGCTCAGTGCTCCCAATTCCTCTCTTGTCAGGCCAGGTGCCCTGCCCCCCTGGCCTCCATCCAAGCCCCTGGGGCTATCCTGCCCTGTCCTCATTAAAGCCTGAAAGGAGCGGGTGTGCTTTCAGACTCTGAGCAGCAGGTTATCGATCAACACTGATAGCACTAGTAGCTTGATCCCTCCCCGAACTGCAGAGATTAATTAGCTTGATTCCCAAGCATAATTCTTAATTAGGCACAGGAAGAAAGGAAAAGAACACAAAGGGACTATTCTTCCCCCAAGGACTGTTGACCTTCTGTCCAGGGTGAAGGAGGAGGAGCAGGAAGTGGGAGGCAGAACCAGGTAAACACGCACTGGCACTTCAATGCTTCCTGCTGGGCCCAAACCTGTCCAGTTCATACAGACACGTGTGCTTTTCTTCTCTGCTTCACTCCTGGACCCCTGGTGCACATAGAAGGCCAAGACGTGGCCCAAGTTTTGAAGTTCCTACTCTAGGCTGTACTGAGAATTCAGCTGCACTGGCTTCAAGTACAAGAGCTGGGTGGGAAGAGGTCAGTGTACTGAAACTTGCCTAGAAACACCGACGGAAGCAGGGGCTGCTTTCTATTCCTGACATTTTCTAGAGCTTTTGAGCCATGGCCCACTAGCTCTTTACGGACAGTAGGGAGGGCAACTAAGGTAGAAAGGAGTTGTGGTTTAGCAAATGTAAGAAATAACACATCAGCTGGCCCAACACTGAGCTTCAGTTTCCTCTTCACGTGAGCTGCTTCACAACAGGTATGAGAATTACCAAGAAGGTATTCTGGGTAGGTTTGTGGAAATATGGATATGGAGCCAGGGTTAGGGTCACTGGAAGTCCTTGACATGGGCGGTAAGTCAGAACAGTGTCTAAAAAAGAAGGCCAGAATGCTCTGCCCCATGGCCAGCCACCACTCAACACCTCCACCAAAAACACCTTCATCCAGCTCTTTCAAGTCTCTGCTGACCATCCTGATCCAAACACCCAGTTGTAGGCCAACCACGGGGGCAGTGTAGCCCCTGCTGGTTGGACTCTTGAAGCATCAGAAACATTAGATGTGGCTGAGAGGCTACTTCTCTACAAGGCTTGTACAGCTAAGTCCTGAAGAGTCTGAAGACCTCTTGGTGGGATGTATGGTGTGGCCTGTAGGAGAGGTGCCAGTAGTGAAACTGGACTGGCTGCCGTCCCTTGTTAAGCTGGTTGGGGGGTCGAACACTACTTCAGAAAATGTGTAGGGTTTTCTTTATTGTAAATGGTGGAGGGAAGTGCTCAAACAGGAAAGGGTTCCGCCTTCATTCCTGACTGTCCTGGCAGGAATGTGACACAGCTTTCTGCTCAGCCGGATGAATAGGTCTGTGAGGAGACAGGTGTTTGCATAGCAGAGCAGCTCAAACTGCCGTGTCTCTCTGGAACCAGCCTATACCATGGAGACAGCAGGCAGGAGACAGTAAGGAGCATAACACAAGTGGCATAGGGACATCAGTCTAGAAAAGCCCACAGGGCCAGGAGAAAGGCCTCAGCAGAGGATATCACTAGCCATAGATGGGGTACAGGAGCTGATTTCTGCCCTCTGTGGGCAGCTGCTACAGCATTAGTGATGACAGAAGAAGAGAACCTAGTGTGATCCTAAGCACAGCAGATAACCCAGCCAGAGCTTTATCTATTGTCACTCAGGACAAAGAGATGGCAGGCACCCTGAGTCCCAGAGTTTCCCCTGGGTTCTCTGAGGCTGAGGACAAGGTCAACATCGCCCTAAACCTCCAGCCTGCTCCAGAAGGAAGGGCTGTGTCCAGAGAGCCACAGGCTTGTGGGAAGATCACGGGATGACGTGTCCAGATCTGCCCAGGGAGGCAGAGAGTCTGCCAACCCACAGCATGTGGGAGAGCGCTTTCAGCAAGGACCTGGATGATGTTAGAAGCCTGGGGGCCTGGGAAGGCCAAATGTTTAATATTTGGAAAAGAGGCTGTCTAAACAAAGCAATTAGGAGGCTCCTTTGTAGTGCTATGAAAGAGATGGATTGGCTCTTCCAACATCAAAGGAAGGCTGATACAATGGGGACTAGCCAGGCCTAGGCCTCCAGTTGGGGAGGGGACCCCCTGCCCACCACAGGGCAGGCCACAGAGTGCTTTGAAGCTCCTCAATAAAACTTGTTCCCAATCACTTAACATACCCCCTAAAACTTCCGCAGGAAGGTTATCACTCCTTCAGCCGCTTTTTAAAATAACATTTGCCACCATGCTGGAGACACATTTGGGGTTCACCCTTCACTGTTCGGCAGAGAAGACAGTGTGGACTGTCGCCTTCTTCAGGTGGACTGAGCAGAGCACAGCCACCCCAGGAGGAAGTGGAGTTAGCACCAGTGGGAGAGTTCTGCTTCTTAGCTGGTGCCTGGGCAAGTCAGGAGCGGCTGTGGGTGCAGCCAGCCTTGCTTGTAAAATGGAAGTGGAGGGAGGAAGGCTGCGAGATGGCTCTCAGATTAAGGCCCTTGCTACCGAGCCAGATGCTGTGAGTTCAACCCCCAGTTCCCCTTAATGGAAGGAGAGAATCAACATTCACAAGCTGTCCTCTAATCACCAAATAGGCAACATCACACATACACACACACACACACACACACACACACACACGAGTAATAAAAAGGAAACATTTTTAATGGAAATGGCAGCTCCTTGTCACATGGATGAGCAACGTAGGCCAGGTCGTTCTGGATGAAGGGTAGTTAGAGCAAAGAAAGGAATCAAGAGGATCATGCGGATGGATTCTAGTGAGCCCAAGAACTAAGAAAGATGATGCAGGAAGCCTGTCCCAGAGCCCAGACTTCCCTGGCATCCGCTGCATTCTATTATCCTCTGACCCAACCAGGTCCAGAGCCTGCAGCCCAGGCTAGACTGTTTGAACACAGGTTGACATCACAGATTTCACTTAAATTCAGCAGCTCTTACTTCTCAAACCTATGCTATGGTTATAGGCAAAATGAAATTTTACCTGGTAAATCCTGGTAAACGATTCTAGAAAAAGAAAAGTCCATGGAAGCCAAACATGGTAGCACAGGGATGTAATGGCAACAAGGAAGCCGAAGCAGAAGGATCTTCAGCTGGGGTAGCCTGGACTAGCTTTACCTAGGGAGGCTTGTCTCAAAAGCAAAACAAAGCGAGCACATGGTACATGAGATAAGGTGTTAGGACATCAATCTAACCATGAAAATAAATGGTGACGCATCTCACTGTCACCTGTAGCCTGAGCCAGAAGCCCCCCCTCTCTTAAAGAGAAATAAAACAAAAAAGCAAAAGCAACAGGCTGTACAGAGACTTATTTCAAGGAACTGGCTCTTTACAGTCTTGAAAGCTAGCAAGTCCAAAGTCTTTATGGGCTGTGCCAGCAACCTGGAGGACAGGCATAAGCTGATGTCTCATTCAGTCCTGAGGCATCACACAAACTCATAGATTAGACTTCCATCTTGCTTGAAGGAGAAGGGTCAGGTTTTGTTCCGTCAAGGTCTTCAGTAGATCCGATGAGGCCTACCTGTAACATGGGAAAGCAATCTGCTTAACTCCAAAGCCATCGCCATCCCATAACATGCCCCAGAAACATCCAGAGCAACACACAGTCCTGCTAAGTTGACTTTAACCATTTTCTTCCCCAACTGCCTACGCTCAACACAGCAACCAGAAGATTACTATTAAAATGAATGAATGTCATGAAAATGAATGACGTAGTTCGGTTGGCAGAGTGCTTGCCTAGCAAACCAGAGGCCCCGGCTTCCATCCCCACTGCCACATGAAACCAGGGATGGCGGAACACACCTGTAATTCCATCACTCAGGAGGCAAAGGTAGGGGCATGAGAAAGTCAAGGTCACCCTCAGTTACAAGTTACAAGGTCAGTATAGGCTCCTGGGCGTACAACCTGCTCCACGAGAGAAGAGTGGGGTCGGGCTGTCTTGCCCCACTACGGAGCACCGCGACGCCGCCCACACTGGGCAAGGGAACCAAACAAGCGAGAGCACTCACACCTGGAACTGGAGAGTCGGCGAGGACTTTCCCGTCTGTGAAACGGGAATGATGGGAATGGTGGAAACCATCCGGGGAGGGCTGACGACAGAGTGCAGGCCACCAGGAAGCTTCTCAAGCTCTTGGCCTGAGCCATTCGTTAAACCCTGGACCGAGCGGCCCGGTGCCTGTAGGCGCGGGTTGTCCTCCCTTCGGCCTCGCACGGAGAAGGAAGCTGTGCAGACCCAACACAGGTTCTGAGCGGCACAAGGGGCAACAAAGAGCTCTGGACTGGCGAGGAGTCCAGTCTTGAATTCCAGATTCCCGTTTGGGGTGTCTGTGCTTTGCCACCTGCTGCAGGATCCCGAGCGCGCTCCCCAACTTCTCTGCGCTTTAGTTCCTACCCACGTGAACTGTAAAGAGGTAGATTCGGGCCTTCTGGCCGGACTTCTTGCTCTGTTGTCCTTCCAGCTGACTTTTTCTCAAAGCTGAGCCGCCCAGCTCTTATCAAAGGCCGGCGCTGTTAGAGGCCTTCTCCGCGTGTGTACTTAATAGGCACTGTTTGCCCCGCTGGTCTTTGCCCCGGCTTCCTAAGCGTTGGCTCTTTTGTTTCTCTGGCCCATCTGCCCTGATGGTTCTCATCTGGGGGTTGTCCTCAGCTGCGGAAAGGGCCACGTTTGTTTTAATTAAAAACAAAACCACCGAGTGGGCTGCTAGGCTGGGGCTGGGAGGCCAGGCCGGGGCGAAGATCTGTGGGATCCTTCGTGTTCTCACGTTTGGTTTCAGAGGTAGACCCCTAGCGTGGTTCTGCGGGGCCCTAAGCACGGGGAGGGGCGGAGCCTTGCAGTTCTGGGGGCGCTGAGCGGCGGTTCCTGCCCATCCAAGGCGAGGGGGAGCTACCCACAGGTGGGCCAGGAGGGGACGAATCATCGCTTCCGATCTGTTTTCCCAGGGCTCCTTCTTCTAGACCTAACGCTGCCTGGTGTCTCCAGCAGATCCAGATGTCCAGCCGCCTGCCACCAGGATGTCTGCCTTCGCCTCCTCCCCTGACGTGCTGGTCCCCCTTTCTACCAGGCTTTCTCCCACGGTCAGCCGGCAGCTCCGGGGCGCCACCTGCTGTCTGAAACTGCAGGCCTTGGCCTGAGCTGTCCCATTCATAGGTAAACTGGGCAGTAAAACATCAACCAGAAAGAACTTTTTCTGAGGAGGTGTTGGCGGAGTGCTTGAGTAGCATGGAAGAAGGCCTGAGTTCCATTTCTAGCACCGCATACGGGAGATGAGGTGTAGGCGCCTGGAAGGCTAGTACCCAGGCTATAGGAGCAGAAGGATCCGAAGTTCAAGGTCGTCTTCAGCTTTGACAACTTGGGATCCTATCTTCTCCTTGAAGTCCAGGCTGGGTGAGGGAAAGAAAGTGGAGCCCCACTCTGGCTAAGTGGCCGGTCCCAGGGTTGCAGGACCCGACGCCCGACCCCTGCCCTAGGCAAATGCATGTTGCTTCCCAGCCAGGAACTGACCACATCTTTCCTCCAGGCCCAGACCACCTTGCCTTATTGAGAGGAGTCAGGCACCCTCATGAAACATGTGGAGAAAGCCGGGTAGCTTCCAGCCAGCCCTAGATCTAGTCCTCGCATTCAGAGGAGCCCAAACCACCACCATGCCAGGCTCCCTTCCTCTGGAAATCAAATCTGGCTGCCTACTTTCCCAGGGTGGAATCCATTCCCCCCAGCTTGCTGAGTCTAAGCTGGCCTGTCTGCCCCAGGAGAGATGGCCTTAGAGCTCCAAGCCAGGGTCCCTCACAGCAGCAAGCTTACCGCAAGGCTTCGCAGCACAGTGCTTAGGTCACAGCGTGATTCAGGCACTCGGCAGTCTTCCCTTCTTCAAACTCAGAAGGAAGAAAAGCAAACTGGGAGTGGGAAATGTGGTTTGATGTGTAATATTAACACGCTTTTATGCTAACACCCATAAAATAGAACCCCAAAGATCGTGGTGGGGAAAAGGAGCTAGGGTCCAGCAAAGTTCTAACAGAGCCCTGATGGAGCCATCTTCGGGTCAGCCATCTGAGCAGCTTCTGCTCCCTTGCGTCTGGACTACACTGCTAGGAAGGATCCCTAGGACATGGCATCGATCAGGTTCCTGTATTTCTCTTTAATAAAAAACAATGCCTGGGGTTTACAGCTGTCAGAGAACAAACCTAAGTTTTGGGCTTCGCATCTTAGAGAACAGGCGTACTTGGGGCTGTTCCTTGGCGTTCGTGAAAGTTACAGATTTGATTCCATGTGGAGTGCAGGGGCAGTGTGGAGTGGGAAAGGCACCAGCCCTCCTGGCTACAGCCACAGTAGCTCTGCCTTCGGGAGGTTGTTTAGTCACTCTAGGACCCCTGCTCTGGGGTGGTGGGGGAGAGGCCTGAGCCCACATACAGTCACATGCTGAGGTGGCTGGGCTGAAGCCTTAAGTGAACTGGAAGGAAGTATATAAAACACAGCACCTCTGTGCAATGAAAAGAGTGTTCAAACTACAGGGCACAAGTACATGCCCACGAGCAGTGATGGTTGGCTGGTACCGCATGACCAAGCCATGAGGGCCGCTGGTTAGGGTAATGAGAACAGCAGAGAAGTCAGAAATGGGGGCAGGAAGGAGCTGAACTCAGGCACATCAGCTAACCCTGTGAGGGATGTCTCTCTGTGCTTATGAAACAAGGAGTTTTCTGGAAAGGATTTAGTGCCAGAAACCAGCGTGCCTACATTCCAGGTCTGGCTCTGGCTCTGGCTCCTATCTCTCTGCCTGTGGATCTCCTGTCTTTGTTGTTGTTGTCTTTTTGTAACACTGGAAAATGTGTGTGTGTGTGTGTGTGTGTGTGTGTGTGTGTGTGTCTGTCTGTCTACAACGCCAGTGTGGAGGTCAGAGGACAACCTCCTAGAGTTGGTTCTCTCCTTCCACCATGTGGGGTCCAGATGAAATTCAGCGTAAGCTGGACCTGGTGATGGCAGATTTCAGAAGCGACCATCCCAGAGCTGAAGCAAGGCCCCAGCTGACAGTGCTTTGATTCCATATGTGGGAGCAAAACACCAGGAAAGCCGAGACTGTTTGCCAGAGCAGGCAGAGAGAATAAATGAGGAGCAAAGGAGGTAGACAGCAAACCGGCCACAGACACTAGGAAGTTGGGAACAGAGAAAAGGAAGAAAAGTCTGGAAGAGCATGTCAGGGTTCAGGGTCAAAGGTGCACAGACAATATGCTGAGCGGAGCACCCCAGTGAGGCCTATAGGGGCCTGGAGATGGAGGTCTGCTGAGCCGAGGGCAAGAGGCAGCTAGGAACAGCCCAGTTCCCGTCTTGGGGTGTTTCCAGGCCCAGCTAATGAGGGTGGGGTCTGTGAAAGCCTGAGCGTGCTGTGGGGAGCCTGGAACTTCAACTTGCCTTTGGGATCAGTTCCATGTTTTGTCAGTAAAACAACAGGATTTGAGGTGGAATTGTAAAAGGGTCATTGTTAACAACCAGCAAAGAGCCAGACAGGAGGCCCGGTGGGTTACAGTTCAGCTGAAGAAGGGTTGAGAGGCTCCGGACGGCATCCAGCAAGAGAGCCGTGAATGCCGTGCCTCTCTTGACTCAGACTAAACTCTCTCAGGAGGTGAGCCCTGGATTACTGGAGAGACTAAAACAGATCTCAGAGCTCAGGGCCTTCACCACAAAAGTGAGGTCCTTGGAAAAGCAAAATCCCCGGCCCCTGTCCCTTTCGCTGCCTCAACCCCCACCCTGACTCTGACCTGTTGAGTCAGAACCTTCTCTCTGTGCGACAAATTCTCACGAAGGTTTCAGAACTCACTGCTCAGTTCTAGCAGTAATTTGGAGGGCCCAGGAAAACCTGAGACAACTTGCTTAAAAAATGTCAAAACCCAAGGAAGAAGCAGTGGAAAGGGGCTTTTGTTTCATTTTTAGGTTGCTGTAGAGGGCACCAGGATGGCTCAGGGGGGTTACAAGGCTCTGTGCCACCAAACCTGACCGCCTGAGTTCAATCCCTGAGACCCACGTGGTCAAAGCAGAGAACCAGCTCCCCAAACTGTCCTCTGGCCTCCATATGTGCACCGTGCAAGCACACCTCAGGACACCCACCACACACTATGTAAACACGTGATTTCCCAAAGCCCGGTGTTCGATTCCCGTGCTGAATGAGCCTGGTGTGGTTGTGCTCTCCTGTAATCCCAGCTCCTGGGAGGAGGAGAAGGAAAGGTCATGGTGGGCATTTGATTTTAAAACTATCTTATTTACATTTCTTTTATCTTTTTCTCCCTTCTCCACCCCAATCCCTCCCAGCACCCCAAACACCAGTTAAGAGAGAAAAGGGGTTAGTGGGAGAGGGGGTACAGTTCTCTAACTGCTTCCTACTGGTTAAGGTTGTCGGGTTCCTTGGAGCCAGTCCAGTCCTCATTACAGGAGATCTCCAATTTCTTGTCTCACTACATCAACGGCAACTGGGAGCCAAAGTGGGGGGAACAGCAGCAGCCTTGTCCTTTCTCTCCTATCGCCACACTCTCTGAGCTCTGGCATTAATTCTCTCTCCAGAGTCCTCAGATTTAAACTATCTGCAGCTGGCAATGAGCTCCTCTCAGAGCCCGCATGAGGCAAATAGTCTGCTGCTGTGGACTGAATCAGCCCCACATTCCATCCCACACTTGGGGCCAAAACATGTTTATATCCACAAGATGTCATGGTTCCCTGCTCTTAGTCCACTTCAGGTCCCAGCCTCCTGCGGGGTGGAATGAGGGGGCAAAACAAATGCTGAGGTTTAACCTGCATGGGAAGCTGTGTGCACTCATTCAAGCCCTCTCGTCCCCATGCAGAAAACAAGTGATGCCTTCTACAACGTGGCCCAAGGCTTCCAGCCCGGTGAAGGAGCCACAGTTCCTCAGCAAGAGGGATCCTGTCCGCTCTCTATGACAAAATCACTTCAAAATAAATTGCGCGTGTGTGTACGATGTATATTTGTATTCACAGAGAGAACCAGCTCCCCAAAACCATGCCTGTGTGTACAGCCATGTAGGCATATGTGTATGTACATATGTGTCTGGAGGCCAGAGGTTGGCATAGGGTATCTTCCTTAGTCACTTTCTGCCTTATATATTGATGTGTTGTAGCAAATTAAAAACGTCTGTTGGGCTATGTTATGTTTATTATTAACCCTATGATTATCATGACAGTATTATCTAACCCACTATCACAAACAATAATAAGACACAGACACCTGCTAGATTTTATTATTGCCTTATTTACCTTGAGCTAGGCAGATATCACTACCTACGTTGTCTGAATCACCTCACCATCCAACTCCCATCCCCTAGCCAATGCCATCCACCTTAACCATCCTATCTTCCATCCACAATCTTATAAATCCTTGCTTTTATTCTTCACCTGGGCCTTTTCACGCCATTATTGGAGTCTTTCCTCCTGTCCCCATGTGGTTTCCTCTCCAGGCTAACTCGTCATGGTGTCCTCCTCCTTCCTCTCTTCCCATCTCTCTGTCTCCCATGACTCTCGTGATTTTTCCCTCCACAAAAGCCCGGGAACCTTAGCCATGCCTACCCCTTCTGCCCTGCCTAAGTATAAACCATTTAATGAACCCATCAGGTATAATGTTTTAGGCAGGTTTACACCAACAAGGATGGGTGTATCCGGCGGGCAGTAACCACATCTTGAGGGTCAGTAATTAGCGTTAGACCAACCTCCAACATTGAGGCAAGCTCTCTAGATGAACTCAGAGGTTACGGATCAGTCTGTGTAATCAGCTTGTCCTAGGGATCCCTGTCCCCATATCCCAAGCACTGGTATTATAGCTGAGCTGCCGTGTGTACCTGGCCGTTCTGTGGGTGCCGGGAATCTGAACTCCAGCTCTCATGCTTGTGTGGTAAGTTCATTATCAATTCAACTATTTCCTCAGCCTTCTTTTAAAAAAAAAATTGTATTTATTGAGACATGGACTAGCTTTGTGGCCCAGGCTAGTCAATATATAATGTTTTTAATTACTGGAGAGACCTTTTATCAACTTTCTCACTGAAAAGGAGGGAGCCTGTATTAGTTACTTTTTAGTTGCTGTGATAAAACACCATGACCAAAAGCAACTCATGGAAGAACGAGTTAATTTTGTCTTATGGTTCCTTCGGAAGAGTCCATAAATGGCAGGAAGGCATGGCATCAGGCAGCCTGAGCAGGAAACTGGGAGGCTACATCTTTAGCTGTAAACGTGGAGCAGAGAGAAAATTGGGAGTAGGTTATGAATATTCAAAGACGGCCCCCAGTGACGTACTTCCTGCAGCAAGGCCACACCTCCAAAATCTCCCTAAACATCAGCACCAGCTGGAGCCAAAGTGTTCAAATACCAGAGGCTATGTGGGCTAGACTTACTCAAACCACCACAGAGCTCCACTGAATGAGTAATATAAAACCTGTCTTATGACTTTCACACTCATTTCCTTCCTGCCGGACAACTTTCAGGCATAAGAAAATCCTCAGGAAGTCTTCCCAAGGACACAGAAATGCTCTTTAGCCACTGGCCATATGAAAGCAGAAGATGTTTGCAGGAAAACTGGATCATGCTCCTCAGTGAGTAAATCCGATTTATGTCAGTGTCATCCAGTCAACCTACCCTGCCCCTCCCCCTTACCATCCAACAGCACATCAATCCTGATTCTGCCTAAGAACATAGATCTCAGCTTCAGAAAATCCATGGGCTGGAGAGATGGCTTGGCGGTTAAGAGCACTGGCTGCTCTTGAAGAGAACCCAGCTTAGTTTCCTCACAACCGTCCTTAACTCAGGTGCCAGGAAATCCAACCCCCTCCTTTGGCCTCCACAGGCACCAGGCATTCATGTGGTACACAGATCTACATGCAGGCAAAACACTCAGACACAGAAGAGTAAAGAAGAATTAAAACTCTAAAAAGATGCTTCCTCCCTCATTTACCTGGGAATCCGAAAACTTTGCACTCCTGACCCAAAGCTGGAGATGGAGACACAGTGAGAGCTGTGACCTGTCCCAGGCTGTGGACTCTGACAGATGGAAAGGTGCCACGGAGCTGGTTTGACATGGATAAGCTCAGAGCCCAGTAGCTGCCCAGGGCTGGCCGGTAGAGATGCTGGATGACCTGGGCACCAGAATGACCAGTGCCTGACACCAGAAGTACAAAGAAGCAGGGCTGATCAAAGACTATGTGCCTAGACCGGTGTGTCTCTGAGAACCCGGATGTCTGTGAGCAGGTGGGCAAAAAGTTGGCAGAGTTGTCTATGCAGGATGAAGAGCTGATGAAGAAGTCCAGCAGAGTTCTGGACCCACATTCAAGCCCCCAGAAATACACACCTTGTTGCTATCTGATCAAAGTGCTCCCTACTGAGTATGATAAGCAAAGACTGTCGTATCTAGGCTCTGAAGGACCCGGGTGTGGCAGAGCTCTTCTGGATAAAGATTGGCTGTTGTCATTGTATATGTATGTGTATGTGTATATCTGTATGAAAATAAATTTGCGCAAAAAGAATCTAAAAAGAAAATGCATAATACTTTTTCCTTTGTCATATGGTTTCCATTGCTGTGACGAAACACCATGACGTAAAAACAACTTAGGGAGAAAAGGGTTTCTTTGGCTGTTCATCATGGAAGAAAGTCAGGACAGGAACTCAAACAGGGCAGGAACCTGAGGGTACAAGCTGATGCTGAGGCCATGGAGAGGTGCTGTTTACTGGCTTGCTTCCCCTGGCTTGCTCAGCCTGCTTCCTTACAGAATCCAAGAACCACCAGCCTGGGGATGGCTCCACCCACCATGGGCTGGGCCCTCCCTCACTGATCACTAACTGGGAAAATGCCCTACAGCTGGATCTCAAGGAGGCATTTCCTCAACTGAGGCTCCTTCCTCTCTGATGATTCTGTGTCAAGTTGACACAAAACCAGCCTCTTAAAAAACCTGCCTGGATGTATGGCAGCTTGGGTCCTGATGTCTTGTTTTTGAAGATAAAAGGCTGGAACACAGTGGCCCTAACTTCATCACACACTCAGGCTCCACACTCCCTTTGCAGCCTCCACCCAGTGTCCCCGGCTTGTTAGCCAAGATGGATGGGAAGGCAACCTCCATCATCCTGGGTAATTGCGGTACTGACAGCTGGCCTCTGCAGGTGACCACTGCCTGGTCCATGACTCAGCCAGGCAATGGCGGTGCCCACTGAGCATCCAAGGCAAGGCGAGTGCAGCTCGCTTTTCTCTAGAAGCTTCGAGGCTGAGTTCCCAGCGTGGCCTTGGCTCCGGGAGCCAGGAACTTGCAGCTTCTTGGCAATGGAACAGCTTACGGATTTCTATTTTTAAAAGCCTTGGAAGTGCGTCACTTGGGGATCGGGCAGAGGCCTTGTCCTGGCAGCAACCCCAGAGTGACTGTGAAACCCAAATGCCACGCAGGAGCCACTCGGCAACTCTGCTCCACAGCTGACAGGAAAGCAGAGGCTCGGGGTCCCAGCAGCCTGTCCTACTGGAAGAAACAGCATGTGCTCCGGACTCTGAGCTACACTGCTTTGCAGGTGTTTACACAGGGGGCCCTGAAGCTAGCCAGCCAGGAGCTGGTCAGGGGCTTGAGAGTCACAGGAAAGAGGCATGCTATTAGGGAGAAGTCTTGGCATCCGGGTTAGGGGAGGTATGGAAGGAGGGAAGGGCGTTAGGCAGCATTTTTCATAGGAAGGTGAATAGCTGTCTGCTCTCCCAGCTAGGGAACCGACAACAGACTAAAGTAAGGCTACCTACCACTCACTGTTTTACCAGTGAGTTTACTGGAGACCACGCAAGGATCACTCAAAAGTGGCTGCACTGCCAAAAGCCCAACCCGGTGTGGGTGATAACTCACAAAAGCTGAACCGTGGGGAGCAGTCCTGAGGGAATATGCTGTTGACACAGAATGGCCATGTCAAGGACCCCAGTATTTCAGCCCTTTGGGAGTGGCAAAGCCTTCCCTAGGTGAGGCTCAGAGGACTGGCAAAGCCTTTCTCTTGTCCAAGTGCTAAAGATGGCTGATGGTGCATGAAGAGAATGTCTACCATAGCTCCCCCAGCATATTTACCGCCTGAAGACTACTCCCTCTACAGAGCCTGCTTCTACCAAGATCAGCCAGACCTGCCTTCTTGTTCAGCTGTATAAACTAAACAGTACCGAGGCTTCTCCATTAGAGAGCCCAGCCCTCTCGATGCCAGCTCTTCTGTGTCAGTCCTTCCTTCCTTCTCTAGTCACCCCTAGTGGAGGTTCCGGAAACTCAACAAACCAAGCTGTGCAAGGACATGGCATACAACCCTGGAGCCGTCTGCATGACTTGAAGGCAGCAGGACAGGTCAGAGAGTCTCCCGGCAGTCCTTATTCCTTCCATAACTCTGTGGAGGGAGGGGCCTTCTGAACCTGGTACGCTTCAGAGACTTCCTGGGACTTGTGAGTTACTGACATCCCATCTAGAAGTTCCTGAAGCTTAACAAGTTTCTCTCCAGGATGGGATTTTTTCAATATGGAGGAAATTGCTATACAACAAATAGAAGGAAGGAGCGGGCAAAGAGGGGGGAGGGAAAGAAAGAAAGAAAAGGAGAGGAGGGAGAGCAGAGAAGAAAGATGAGGGAGAGAAGAAGAAGAGAAGAGGAGGGCACGGAGGAGGGAGAGGGCGATATAGATAGAGGAATGCCTTAGGCACGGAGTAAACTCAGTAGTGCTCAGCCATCCTCTGTCTACTGAAGTCCCCCCCCCCCAGGGATGCAGAAGAATGAAGGGGTGAGAAAGAGATTATAGGCATGTGCTGTCAAACTCCACTGGTGTGGTGCTGGGAGCTGACTCCAGAGCTCTGTGCATGGTAGGTGAGCACTCTTCTAACTGAACTACACTCCCAGTCCTGATATTTCACTGCCGTAGCATTTTTGCTTTTTCCAGAAGGACCCTGGGCCGAATTCATCATGGGCAGCATGCTCGGAGAGGCTCCTTTCATACAGTCATATGCATTTCTGTTTCTTC